CACGCTATAATAGGGCATTCCGCTACAACACAATCGGAACCTAAAGAAGAAAAGCATGACTACCCGATCTGTTTCCTCCTGAACGCTGATTGGCCAAAGATGGCGTGGCTGTGGCGGTCAACCAATGAGCGCGCAGAGGGAAACAGATCGAGTAGTCATGCTTTTCTTCTTTAGGTTCCGGTTGGCTTGCAGCGGAATACCCTATCCTTACAATCTATACTCAAAAGTACACGGCTGAGGCGAGTTGTAGACCCCTCGGGTCTATTAAATCGTACAAACGGCTTCATACCGAAAAATTGTAAAGGTAAAGGGAGTAGTACCTTCACCACACATTTGGCGTCAAACTACACTGTCCTCTGGGGCCTGGGTGCCCTACATTTTCCACAATCACTAAAACGTTGATTTTCACATTAACATCCGTCAAAATTAGAACTTTTACAGACGTGACGGAGAGGCGGGAAGCTCTTGACCAATCGGTAACGTTTGTTCTTCTTCCTCCGTCAGTCAAAATACACTATAAGTGCGCCAGGCGCGTCCATGGGCGCGTCGCAGCGTAACAGTGTTTCGTGAGATATCACGAAGCCTGTTACGCGAGACGTCAGCTGGCGTACATATGGCTGGTTTATGTGAAACTGTACTGTTAAATATGAAAAATAATCGGACTTTTCAAACTGGTTCCGGTCATGATTTTTCTGAGTTCTTCTCGAAACACGCAGAGCGTTAACCGTCTATGAAGCATTCCGGTAAGGCTCAAATGCAGAAGAATGCGAGGAACAAAAAAACGGAAGTCACCATGTTAAACAAAGCGATTTCCGTTTTCTTCATCCCCGCATTCTACTGCATTTCAGCTTTGCCGGAATCCTTCATTAGCGATACCACACTTGAGGTAAGGCTTGGGTGAAACTGGAAAAGTAGGGTGAAACACCGCTATTTTGAATTAAAACCCTCAACGCAAGTTGAATAGACGGTCAGTGGAGTAACGGGCTTCGCTGGCGCTCATCAAATAACGTCCTATTGTCAGTCAGGAGATATGCATGGTAAAGCAAGTAAACAATCGTAGAAGTCGTGGAACAGCAAAACAATAATCACTTGGGTTTCACATGGTGACCTCCAAGAGCTTGTTCGCCAAAACCTTCTCCATTGGCTTACTCTCAAAGTCACCCGAGACCGACAACCTAATAACACTCACCTTTCCTACTCCCTTCGGCTGCTGCAGGCCTCCGTGTAGAACAGCTGTCGGTCGCGCTCGGAGCGTCCCGCGCCGTCCGCTCGCAGGCACTGTCGCACCCAGACTGACCGCGCGGCGCTCGCTCGCATCAGGGCAGGCCGAGCGGCGGACAGGAGAAGGGGGAGGGGGGAGTGCGACTCAGCAGTCGGCGAACCGGTGGTGTAGCAGACCCGTGTGCCCGGATAGGGTGTTCCGCCGCAGGAAATCAGAAACCTAGGGAAGAAAAGCATGACTGTTCGATCCGTTTCGTTCTGCGCGCTCATTGCCTGACTGACACACCGACGTCATGGTCGACCAATAAAGCGTTCCGGTAAAGCTAAAAAGGAGAAGAATGAGGGGAACAACAAAACGGAAATCGCTACGCTGTAGCATAGTGACTTCCGTTTTCTTGTTCCCCGCACTCTTCTGCATTTCAGATTTACGGAATGCATGCATTATAGGGTGTTCAAGGCTATCTAAAACGGAAGTGGAAACGAACAAACACTGATTTATTTGTTTCCGTCTGTTCTGTATGAGAAGTAAAGCATTCCGGTAAAGCTGAAATGCAGAAGAATGTAGGGAACAAGAAAACAGAAGTCACCACGCTGAAGCATTGCGATTTCCGTTTTCTTCTTCCCCGCATTCTTCTGCATTAAAGCTTTACCGGAATGCTTAATTACCATGATCTATAGATTTGGTCCGATAGGGTATTTCACCCAGTTTAAACCGGATCCAAAGAAGAACATAAATGCTTCCTGAACGGTTCCCTTCCTGATGCTCATTGGCTAACGCGGACGAAGTCCTCGGACACGTCACTAGGGTCAAAGCACAGCCCTGGTGACGGGTCCACGGGCTAAACGCTCATCCAATAGGGTATTGGTCTAGAGCGCTGAGCGGAAGTAGAAGAACAAAAACGGAAGGTGGAAAGGCGCCCGCGCCGTCCCCCTCTCCTCCACTGGGCGGAGTGGGGGAGCGCCCGGGGAGAAGTGGAGGGCAGGCGGGGAGGAGTGCGGGCGCCTTTCCATCTTCCGTTTTTGTTCTTCTACTTCCGCTCAGCGCTCTAGACCAATACCCTATAAGCATTCCGGTAAAGCTGAAATGCAGAAGAATACGGGGAAGAAGGGAACGGAAATCGCTATGCTTTTAGGTGACTTCCGTTTTCTTGTTCCCCGCATTCTTCTGCATTTCAGCTTTACCGGAATGCTTAATAACCGCTTAGCCAGCGATACTCTCAGTTTGAAAATCGGGATGAAAATCTGGACCACTACCTACCGTAATGCTATGGCGCAGTTCACGGTCAGACGAACCGATCTAGAAGCCAAAAGGCTGAGATCCGATCAGCGCTATCCTCGACTCTCGTTTCCGGCGCTTGGCTTCTCCTGCATACCCTGTACTCCAAATGTGTCGACACTTCTCGACACAAATCTGTATCGAGTGGGCCGGATTGGCCGCTAACGCTACTCCGTTCCATTTCACACTAGAGTGTCCACGCATCAGTGGCGCCCAAACTATGGTCCAAGCGATGCACGTGCACAGGTACAAATCTATACAAGGTAGGTACATGAGAGGGAGAGAAAGGGGAGAAAGAGGAAGGAGAGGAGAGAAGGAGAAAGAGGAGGAAGGAGAGGAAAGAGGAGAGGAAAAAAGGAAAAGAGGCAGAAACAGGAGAGACTTTGAGTATAAGTATGGGGTATGGGGGTGCAAGGAGGGGCAGTCGCCATTTGCCACTGGCGGACGTCATCGTTCTCGTTTGCCGCTGGCCGCCTGCGCACCCTTCGGCAGCGCCGGTGTGTCATCCGCCGATAGGTGCCCTTAGTGTTACATCAGGCGTTCACAAGAAGACGCCCAGCACTCAAAAAAGGAAGAAGCATTTTCGTCATCTGCGTTCAATGTTTCCTTGTGAACATCTCCATTAGAAAGAAATTTGTCTATACCTATACTACATTATTGCTTTCTAGAAATTTAACAGTTTGGGGACGAATCCGCTATTGTGCCTGAAACATCTACAGTTGTCTTTTCCCGTTTAGAGTGTGACTGACATTACAGGAGTGAAAAGGAAACGGCACCAAAAAGGGTAGAAAAAAGGTAGCGAATCCCTCTCACAACCGCTCTTTTTGTCATGAAATGTCGAAAAAAAATTCTTGCTCACTTCGCTCGCGTTTAAACTAAAGTTTAAGACCGAACGACGTCAACAAGTGTGACAAACACAGTGCTCATAGGGAGGTGCCCGAGCCACCAACGCTGCAGTGAATGACAGAAGTGAACTGGCTGGAACTAAGGTGTAATGTAGATAGGTGGGCGCAAGCGCTCTCATTGGTGGATCTGACATGCGCAGAACCGACTGCGCATCTCCATGTCAACCACTGTCAGGCCAGCGCGCGCGCCGCCGAGTACTTAAAAGGGATTAAGGAGCCAGGAAAGACCCGGCACCGCCCCTCCGGAGGC